TGCTGAACACATTGGTGCTTGGCTCAGTCCTGGATCCTGTCAGAATTCATACTCAAGTTCTCCATGTGCAAGGTCATCAATTCAAGTAGGTGTGCACTGAAAGGACCTAACAAATCAAGTTCCTCTAAAGAAGCAGCAACTACTAAAGAAGGACATGTGGCAAACTTGACAACTTTCTTCTGTGCAGCCATTCATCAGCTGGAGCACCAGAGCTGAATGTGAGACACATTTATGAGTGTCAATTCAGTAGTGGCTTTTGCGGGAGATTTATGCTTCAGTGTCTCAGCAAAAGGCTGTGACTTGCAGTTCCCACTTACTGATCCTTCTCAGCTTTGTATGGAAACAGTCAACAGAGACAGAGCAGAAGAGAGAAAGAGGAGAACATTTGTTGTTCTGTACATGAAGGATCAGAGCACACAGTGACAGAGGAAAGACTTCACTGGTAGCTGTGTTTCAATGATGAGTACAATATTTTTATGTTAAATTTTGTTTAGTGCAAAAAGAGTGCAAACACAAGTTCCAGTAATGAGTTAGAAGTGAACCTGAAACCCTCTAATCCTGAACAAATGTCCTCTTCTCTAATCCTCTGTATGAATAAGGGAATAGGCAGGTGGGGAAGTAAGGGTAATCTTACTTTGGCTGTGATGTTCTTCCTTTCTCACATGCCCTTCTTCTGCTGAGTTTGAAATAAAGAAATGACACCTACTCAACTCAGAATAGAAAAGGCAAACCCAAAGGAGAGATATATCTCTTTGATGCAGAGTCAAGCACAAGTCCTTCAGAGGACCAAGTTCAAGACAAAAGTTGTCATTTCTGGCTGGCTACATGGGGTGACTTCTGCAATGGATGCTCATTAACAATCCCTTTTAAAAATGTACTGGTGCACTGGATTGACATCCAAGACAGAACTCGTAGTTTCCATTATTTCAATGAGGTGGTTAAAATTTCTAATTCAATAGTCTGAGACATAATATGCCAGATCACCATGCATAAGGTCTCTTTGCTTAGAATTGTGTAGAAAACAGGAAGATGCACCTCCTTCTTATCCAGCTGTGCTTTGAAAGAAAAATGTTCAATTGTCTTAGACTTAGTCTTTTCTTTTTTTTTTTTTTTTTTTTTTTTAATAAAGTGCTTTTGCTTAACATCAGAACCACAGTTATGCTTATGAATCTGAAATTAGCCCTGAAATCTTTGGAAAGGGCAAGATTTACTTTAACATTCCCAAATGGTTTACAAGAAAAATTGCTAAGGTTTGCAAATGTTGGCATTTTCACTACATGGGGAACACAGCATATAACTCAGGAATTTCATGGGGAATCCATTAAGAAGTAAATGCTGCGGCTCTCAGTATTACATCACCTCCAGCCATGATATGTCTCTCACTGCTGGAATCAAAGGCCTAACTGAAACCTTCTGAGGAACAAAGTCCTTCTAAATTTAGAAATGGTACATTAGCACGTAGCACTTTCAAGATTGTGTCACTTGTCTGTTTTTTGTTTTGTTTTGTTTTTTTCAAGACATCTAACAAGACTGCCAAAACAGAGTGAATTCTTTTCAAAATTCATCAATCCAACAAAACTTTTCACAAAGATCTGCCAACACTTACCAAAATGTAAAATATTTTAGGCAATGTCAGTAGGAACAGGATTGCAATCAATAGGAGATACATGTTTTTAATGCCAAGATCTGAATTTTCTTGCATATGAGATCTCAAAAAAATAGCCAACACATTTTATCTGATAATTTTACTTGGATCTGAAAACACATTAAAATGAGAAATGTTGGCAAGACTGACAGTCTTAAAAAAGGCTAGTAAAAAAGTTTTGAGATAATTACTTTATCTAGAACGTTTCCATTCTGTGTTTTCAAATTATTTTGTATAAATAAAGTTTCTGGGAAATTATGTGTGTATATTATCTTAAAAATATTATTTAATTACTTCAATAACTTTTTTTTGTTTACTATATAGAAATAGAAATTCTTTCTTTGTCTCATTTCAGTTCCAATCTCTGTACAGTCTCCATTTTCTGTACAGTTAAGCTTCATGTTCTCTCATTACTTTTTGAAAAATACATCATGAAAAAAAGAAGTAGCTCTAGAATATTATTTTTCTTTTGGTGACAGGTAAACGACATTTTCAGATATTATTTTAGAAAATACAATTGAATGTCTCTATTCTGAATTCAACTGGCTGCTCAGATTGTTAGGGGAAAACAATGAAATGTTTACAGAATTTATAGGCTATAATTCAAAACTGTTATCCATCACAAAATTGAGCACTTTTAGCACCTATTACAAGACTCTGCTTAGTTCAAAGAAAATAACCTTTTGCCTCTGACTTACCTTCCATACTGCAGGCATGTTATAAGTACATCAGTTATTGATTTTTCACCAACCCTTACAAAATCATAGGTCGTCTTTTTAAATATTACCAGAAAGCAAATGCTGCCTCCAGGGCATCTTAGATGTAATCAAAGAGTAGAAGAACTGAAGAAGGGCATACAGCTCTCTAAAGGGTGCAGTTAAGTGCAAACATTTTGTTGGAGCAAAACAATCACCAGAAAACATTAGAAAAAAGAGCTACAAGTGGGGAGTTCAAGTGTACAAAATAAAAATTTAATCAGAACTCTAGATCTTAACCTTTTAACACAAAGCAGTTTTGAAAAAGTTCATCTCCTCAAGAAGAGTAAAGAAGCAACTGATACCTCTCTCAGTCTTCTTCACAGCTGACAGCTCACAAGTCTTGTAGAATGAAGTTAACAATTATGCAAAATGCTACCACTGTTTACAGTCTATTTAGACAGCCTGTGCATTGCTTTACTGCCTGAGAAAAAGTACATATCTTTGTATGTATGTATTAATGAAAGCTAGACAAAATTTAAACTGTTTCTATTATATTGCTCTATAGGAATTTAGAAAGTTAATTTGAAATCATATTAGCATTTGTTAGAGAATTATGAAACTATCCCCACAGATTTTCCTTTCAACATCCTACAAGCGAGCATCAGGAAGACAGGAATGACATGCCTGTACCACTCAACATTGTGATTGAAGTAAATAATATTCATTGTGTTTTAAATATAAAAATCTCCAATCACTTGCTGGTTTATATTTTTTCTCTCTTTGATAGAGTAAATATAAAATTGACTGTCAACGTAAAATAAAAACCTGTATTATTTACTCAGAATCTCATTACTTCCCAACTTGTGTGTCAGGTATTTTTTGAAGGCATGGTTCAGTTTCTTAAAGCAGATACAACAGTAATCCTGAATCTTCTTCTTATTTTATAGATCAATTTTCTAGCATCTAGTAGTATTTATCAATCAATCTTTTTTTTGTCTTCTTGAAGCTGAAAATGAATGCACAGCCCTACCCTGACCCTCCCTCCTAATCAGTTTCTGCTTCCATATGCCACTCCTCCAGGGATTTTGGATGTGTATATGGAAAACCTGCCAATCAGACAGAAACAAATCCTAGCAAA